TTTGTTTGTTTATGGATATATTTTAATCAAATTTTGCAATTTTGTTTATTTCATACTAAGCTATGAACATTTCGATAAAACACACACCTCAATACCTTCTCTGTAGCAGCAAACCTAGGTACTCATTAAAATTTATGTTATTTAAATAGGGAACAAATCTAACAATTTTCAGGGAATATTTTTGTAGAAATCCACCCAGGTAAATGGAAATTCGCTTAGTCTGCAGGTTTGCAAAGGTTATTTAACCCTAGAGTGGTGTCTTCAGTCTGTGAGTCCGATGATGTGTATTTTATATTAATACTTTCAAGTTCCTACTACCCCCGCTTGGGTGCAAGACTTGTGTCTCCTGCTACCTTCCTACCTCGACTCAGTCTACCACCAAACACAAGGGCATAATTTTGAGGTTACAGATTCGTCTGCAATTGTGTACTTCGGTCCCCTACACCTAAGACGCACCTAGGGTGTGATTGGTTCAACTGACCGAGGTCACCTAAAATGAGGTTACAGATTCGTCTGCAATTGTGTACTTCGGTCCCCTACACCTAAGACGCACCTAGGGTGTGATCGGTTCAACTGACCGAAGACACCTAAAATGAGGTTACAGATTCGTCTGCAATTGTGTACTTCGGTCCCCTACACCTAAGACGCACCTAGGGTGTGATTGGTTCAACTGACCGAAGACACCTAAAATGAGGTTACAGATTCGTCTGCAATTGTGTACTTCGGTCCCCTACACCTAAGACGCACCTAGGGTGTGATCGGTTCAACTGACCGAAGACACCTAAAATGAGGTTACAGATTCGTCTGCAATTGTGTACTTCGGTCCCCTACACCTAAGACGCACCTAGGGTGTGATTGGTTCAACTGACCGAAGACACCTAAAATGAGGTTACAGATTCGTCTGCAATTGTGTACTTCGGTCCCCTACACCTAAGACGCACCTAGGGTGTGATTGGTTCAACTGACCGAAGACACCTAAAATGAATAATAGTATACTATGTAATACAGTGTAGACTCCCTCTTATCCGGACATCGGTTTAACCTGACTACACTCAGCGGAAATGACATCTCTTTAACCTTACAATTTTTATCAGCACATCGGTTTAACCGGACTAGATTGGCAGGAAGTGGGTGGTACTAAAACAACTGTTCTCGTGGGAAAAATTTTAGACCAGTGATCACATGTCTAAATACAATGCTCTCCTAAATTTAAGCCCGCAAATATTTGGGTTACATAATAATTTTTTGGGGACGTCGGTTTAACTGGAAAACCCGTTATCCGGACTGGCCTCGGTCCTGAGGAGTCCGGATAAGAGGGAGTCAATGTACAACACTATACCTAATTTATTAATTTTATATAATGTAAAATTATATAATTTTAATCATTTTACATAGTTTATAAATTGTATTTCCATAGTTGTATACCTACATAAAATATTAAAACGGTCTCACAAATATTAAAACGACATCAAAGCCGCCACTACTCTATGGGTCAAACGTTAAAAATAGACAGAATTCTGCCTATGTTTTTTTACATCAACTAGTCAATAAACTTTCATAATATTACCAGTAAAGGCTTTAGTAATTTAAAAACAGTATTTTGAAAAAAGTTTTACTTTATCAACTTTTGATAAATGTATTAGTTTTTTCAAAAATATTTTACCAATACTCAGAGAGGTTTTATTTAACGATAAACATCATAAAAATGTAATAATAATTTTACACAGTTTTGTCTATTATAATTGTAGTTATATACTAAAAACTAGCTGTAACCCGCGGGCTTTGCCCCGTTTAACTTCTTAATTTTCAAGATTATCTCGTTCGCATGGCTCAATCACGTCCTGGTTGAAGTTTGTTCGCTACGCTCACTCCCCTTTAGGTTGGAGCTCGTTCGCTACGCTCACTCACCTTTAGGTTGGAGCTCGTTCGCTGCGCTCACTTGCCTTCAGGTTAGCTCGTTCGCTACGCTAACTCGCCTCCAGGTTGAAGTTCGTTCGCTACGCTCACTCACCTTTTGGTTGCAAATTAGCTGTTGTCATAAATTATGTAAATGTAAAAGAAATAATAGTGCTGCACCCTGTTGGTAATCCTTGTAACTTTAATGCTATTGAACATCATAGAACAGAACCAACTTGTTTAATTGAAACAGCTGTTAAGATTCAATAATTCCATTTCTCATAAGGTTAACATGGGAAACTCCAGAGCCACTGGGGCGGAGCCCGAAAGGATTTTTGAAATAAGAATATGCATATATGTTAATCGGGAATGTGAGCTATCATCATGCCAAATTTCAGCCCAATCCGACCAGTATTTTTCGCGTTCACTTGTCACAAACATACATCCATACATCCATACATCCATACATCCAAACTTTCTCATTTATAATATTAGTAGGATTACTAAAACTTGTTTACTTTTACTTTTTCTTCATATGAGAAAAATATAAACAATTTAAATTAAATGTTTTTGTTCTGTGGGTGGAAATGGGAAAATTAATGTTACCCCCCATAAAACCCCAGACTTCCAATCATACTGGTTAGTGAACTCGTTAGAATCAACATAGGTTCACACGTTGGCACTTTATCAAAATCCAATTAAATTTTGTGAAGTTATCCCTTAAGGACTTCACGCATACTATGTCCATTCCAGTCACCATCGTGACTTGGACTGGAAGGCTGGAGTATTACGCATAATACGTTCTGCCCCACTCTGTAAATACACTTTTACAAATAGCGTTTTTGGCCTCTGGGGACATCGAAGTGACAAAGTAAATTGGTCCTAGGTCTAGTTCTTACCATGAGACCTACGGTAATATGTTTATCCCTGTATGGGAATTTCACTAGAAAATAGCATGGCAGTGAGTTAATATTAACTGGGTAAAATCCAAAATTATTAGATTAAAATCCTGATGATATAACGCATGTTTTAAGACATTTGACAATTATGGTGGAATATTGCCTTTAAATCCGACTTTTTGACCATCCAATTCAATAAGTGAAATATTTAATACACAAAAATTATCTTTAGCCTATGTGTGCTTATGTTTTGTACCACCAAGACTGTCTAAAGTTTACATCAGTCAAGCAATGAGTGAACTGTCCTCTCATCACATTCCAAGACACTCTCCATGGTGGTCTGAAGAGTGGGTGGTTTACAAACAAAAGATAAGAGCAGACCACATAGATTACAATCACTGGAGATAGGAGAAAATTATGGGTGTGAATGTTTACTCACTCACAGACAACATAAACAGTAATCACTATGGAAGAACTATTTGTTTGCAGTAGATTTCTCAAATTTTATCCTCGTAATATTTCTTAAAGACAATTACATGTTTATAAAACAGTTTTTTTTTCTAATTGTCTGATGTATGATCATGACTCATTATAAACTAATGAATACTTTCACTAGGATTGCTTTCATAGCAGTGAAAGCCAGTTGAGTCTTTCCATAGCATTTAAGTATTTTAGATACAATTATCTAACTGCCACAAACGTTCCCCACACTCCGCACTTCTCGCCTTTACTACTTCCTTCACCACTTCCTACGTCGTGGACCTGTTAAGTTTACCATTTATGAGATGGATCCATGAATGTGATTCACTGACAAATTGTTTAAGATAAAATGTTATTTGTTATAGTTATAACCTTATTGAGCTACTTATATCAAATCTGTTACTAATCAAATCAAATCAAATACTATAGTTAGAAAGAAGTATGTTTTATCTATGACTGTATAGGCCTACCTATTCAATCAGTGGTCGTTTCCAAATTGGAGCTTGAATGTAAACCTTACATAAGACTTTCTCTGTATTATTTGATCAGTGGTCATCATCCAAATTTTTTCCTTTGTACTGTGTTGAGGTTGTGTCTTTTGTTTTTAACATATGCTATGATTCTTTGTTTTGTTTACATTACGTCACTATTTTGTAACCATAATGGCAACCCATAAGTCCAATGTTAAAATTTGAAAACTTTGAGTTATATTTTAAAATTATATATAGGTATTATCAAAAATTGAAATTGGTTACGCCTAAACCAACCAAACATTATAAAACAGCCTTGGTTGGCTAAAATACGTTCAGCCGTTATTGAGATTGAGTGTTAGAAAGTTTGCATTGAAGTTGATCCCAAAGAGCTTCGCTTCGATCCGTTCAATAATCTTTGAAGATTCATAATGTCAGACGTATAAAAGGCATATACGAAGAAATTATTATAGTTGCTCAAGCAATAATTAATCAATGATTCCTCCTTGGGCTTGTAGCCTATACATATATATGAGATCTGTGACAGGTGACTTGGTTTATTTGTGTTGTGTGTACAATTCTGTGTGTATATATATATATGTGTTTGTCTGAATGTTAAGTTTTTTTTATCTGATTATATTTTACAAACTGTTAAATTCCAGAACAATAAGTAAAATAGATGACAAAATTGGTGCAACGCAAACACCTGTCTCTCAACAGAATGTTAAAATGTATTTAGTTTTCTTTTGAAGTCTAACAAGTTTTTTGTTAACTTAACACATTACTGTTCAAAAACGTTAAGTGTTTTACCTCAAAACATTATACACTAATATTGAACTAGGAAAGGCAAAGAACGTTTTGTAGTTTTCGATGATGCACCGCCAGAATTGATGTGTTACTCCACGATCCTATAGGTAGTTATAGTTGCGACGTTCCGCGATCCCAGTGACTAAAGTAATAACGGTCAACAGATGTATCATGAGTTTTTATATTGAAATTTATGGTAGAAATTTTTATAGGCTAGATTCTTGTCCACATGAAAAAGATTGTTAGGTAAATTAAGAATGAGTGAATGTCTACTGAATACAAAATGACTTTACAACTTAATTAATCGTAGCATAACTGAAAATATTTGTAGGCTTATAGGTTATATTATATTTGTTTACCTCTTGAACAAATCAAACACCTCAGTCCCCTGGTATTATTTGTAAAATCAAATTAAATTTAGTTTCAAGCACAAATTATTTTTTTACAGGATCAGTTAGAACAAAATGAGTTGAAGAATTCTTTGGAGTCACTGCTCTCTACCCTTCAATGTCCAGTCTGCCTCTGCCTTCTAGATAGACAGTCTGTGCTTTGTGTCAACGGTCATGCAGTCTGTAAAAAGTGTATGGATAAGTTGATGTCTACTACAAAACAGAATGCCTGCCCAAAATGCCGCAATGGCCTCTCAAACTTGCAACAAAATACAGTGTTCTCACAGATTTTGGAGATTCTACCTCATTGCTGCCGGTTTGATAGGTACTATTTGCTTTGAAACATCTTAATTTAGACCTCAATTCTTAAAATGAATGTATATTGAAATAGAATTGTCGTGTTAGCATTTCTTTGTAAGAACTATTTTTGTGTTTCATTGTCATTAGTCAATTGTTGATTTTGTAATCAAAAGTCAGCATCTAGTAAAGTTGCCAAGATGATGAGGGCAAGTTGTCAAGATTAATTATCAAATTTAATCAGAATCAAATTATTTTTGTTCAATTTTGATAAATAACGTTTTAGCTTGATAGCTAATGGAGACATATTTGAATTTGATTGTGGTTTTTGGCTCTGGGGGCATCAAACGGAACTCACAGTGTAATAGGTTAATTATTCTCTATGGGTAGTTCGTTAAAACTGATATTGCTTAGGTAAGGCTTTTAAAATGACTAGTGTACCTGTTGCTCGAAATCGAGCAAATGTCAAGTACCGTTATATACAGAAGTTATTTTAAAACTACAGTTATTACAGTAATAATTTTCGATGAGTTAAAAAGACCCGACTAAATGCTTATGTAACTAACTGAAATACTCACGCTATTTAATAGCGCTTTGAAATAATAAATGCTTCTTGAAAAAATATTTTAGCATTTTTTGGACCCGGCCTTATTTTTTAGCGTGTTCTACAAATGTTTCCCGACTTAAAGCTGTTACCGGTAAACATTTCTTGCATGTATTTATTTGGTCTGACTTTAGGTAGGTTTACTTTACCACTGTGACAACATGATGTGTATATTCTTCATGGTTTTTGTACTTCCAAAATAAGTTGCTTAACTTATTCAACTGCTGCTTACTCAACTGGCAAAAATGATTCATCTCCCCTAGTGATTGTGTACTTGGATTCCATACTGTGAGACCAGGCCTCTCCTCTACTCTTCTCATACGTAAGCACGTACATAATAATAATATACACTTGGACATAAAATTGAAACCAAGTTGCCCTTTTATGTTTATTTATCTTTTGTTTTTTTTTATCGAGAATCATTCAACAAGGGTGGATGGAGTGTTTAGATAGGAACCCTTTTCTTAAAATAGTATTAGTTCTGTATTGTCATACAACAATTGTACAGTTTATAATTTGTTATTATTTCAACAGATGTTCATATCTAGTGAAGCCAGGTGATGACCATGAGACCTTTTGCCGTTTCCGGCCGACAGAGTGTAAATTTCCAAACTGCAGTTGGTTTGGGTCAGTTGAGAACATTCCGTTCCACATAGAAGACAAACATCCCCTGGAGAAAATATACTCTGGAACTAAGCATACATTGAGTACTCCCCAAAGTTATGTTGATGGTAAAGGCGTATTGCTGTTCTCAGCTTGTGGGCATTATTTTTGGCAAAGAATGAAACCATACTCAAGCAGGGAAACCCCATCATCAAATTGCTTGGGTATGTGAGGGCAGAACCTTTTTCTTTTTATACTATACCTACCAAAACACTAGAGTGTGAGAATACACTAAGGTAAAGGTTTTTTTTTTACAATTCATGATACATACCAAACCCTACAAACTCCCTGGAAATGTTTTGTATATTTTTTGATCCATTACTTAAACAATAAAAAATAAATAAATAAATAAAACATTGCATGGATAAAGAATTTTTAACATGCATAAATTTATTCATAACTGAAAAGTAAATATTATATGGACATGTAAATAATTAAAATATAGATTAATATAGGAAGTACAGAAGTAAAATATATAACAGGGGAAATCTGTTTATAAATTGTTAATGTTCAAGTGCTTTTTCCATTATTTTTATGACATGCTCACTTAAATTACAATACAAGGTTACTTATCCAAATCAATCTGTAACAATTCAATTTTTTATTTACACACTGGATTTTCTGTTAAAAGAAATTAATGCTGCAAATTTTTTGTATCAATAATCATGTATCCTAAATTTACTGGTGACTTTGCAGATGACGAGTATCGGTTCAGCTTTCATCCAGTATTTGTGGGTAAACCGACTTGTGACGTTTATATAAGGATTTGGTTCCGATCAGAAGACAAAGAATTTTTCTCTTCTATGAAATTCAAGATGGATCAAAACAATGCCACTGGAAACTCCTTCTATTTTCCTCGATCAATGATTTTCAGTTTCATCACTGATAATGAGTTGAAATATGATCTAATGATAACAGAGGTAAGGAATGATGCAGTCAAATCACTGATTGAGTAAGCTTAAGTAGTACATTTGACATCTCTTGCGAAAGCGAAGCTTGTTGTGGTGGAATAATTCCCACTGCTCCAGCAAAAATTTGAGTATCTTACCTCGTAAGCACACTTGACAACTTTCGCGGACGCACAGTTGAAAACTTCTTCTCATATCTGCCATGGGAGATCTTAGTAGAAGTTTTTCGTTTGTGGTGCACCTACTTGATAGGTGTGTGCAGCGCTGCGGCAGCGAAAACGGCGACGGGCAGACAACTGTGCTCTTCAAGTATTTTCGGGACCTCTTTTATATTTTCCGGTACTCTTGTGTTATCTCGGCCCAGTTTCTTTAGGCCCAAACTTCCGCTAGTTTTGCCAAATGCTCAGAAAAAGATAAAGAAAAAGCTTTCCACTGCACTGTGCTTGGCTTCCCCGAGTGTTGCCAAGTGTAGTGTTCTACAACCTTTAGATTTTGTACTGATAAGTTGTGCTGTGTGTAGGCGGCTTTTCATTTGATTGCAAGCAGTAGCAATCCAACAGTAATTTTAAACATTAATTCAATATATGATTTTATATGTATAAGTTATGATATAACCAATGTAAATGACTATAGATCATTAGGATTTTCTCAGTTATCTTTAAAAAATATAAAATATAACTAAAAAACAGTATGAAGAGGAGTGTTGTTGACAGTAATTATTATTTTAATTTAAGTTATATTCAATGTTTTATAAGGTACCTATGATTTATTTGCTGTACCTACCTTCACTTTTTAAATTGCTAAAATAAATATATCTTTTTTACGTTGCTTTTTTGTTCTTATAAGCTCAAACATGTCAGTCAGTGATATCAATGGATTGTTCAGAGAAAATTTCAGGTTGTATTATGTTGCATTTCCTTTTCTTCACAGATTTTAAAGCAGTTTGCTCTTATGTTGATGTGTGGTTGCAGGCTTTATGTTATAGTGTTGTTTTAAAGGACTTTCTTCAAGGATCTAGGAATGAAATAAAACTAAAGTTACTTATTTAAAAAACTTGTTTGTTCAAATTTTTAATAGATAGTTGGTTCAAATTTTAAGTCTTATTATAAAATTGAAATAGAATTTAACTCGTCTTCTTATGAATAAACGGGCTATTAGTTATTGGCTAAGAGTTTATTTAGTTAATTTTTACTATCTAATATTCTTCAAGTATCTAATTTTCAGTCACAATTAAGGGTTTAAACTATCAAAAGAAAAATTATAAAAAGTCTTTACTATTTATGCATTTTAAAACTTAATTTTGTGTACATTTATTGGAAAATATCTTTTTGTCTTACACAATAAGTTGATTTACTGAAACTGATGTAAGTTTTCATACAGAAAAGTAACCTAACTATTGATTATAAATTCGTGATCACCTACTATACCGCATTTTCCAGTTACTTTATTACTTAATACAACATCTTACCTTACTTTGTAAACAATTTTGAATACAATAGTATTGCTTCCCAAACATTAGAATTTGTCACAAGAGCTGTTAGAGGAATGAAAAACTGACTTTCATTATTATTAACTATTACCAAAATGGTTAAGTTGGATTGAGTGACTTGTCGCTCTTAAAATTTCTCTCAAATTATTACTGATTAACATGATTATCTGATTTGTAACTCAGTATATAAACTTGTTTGATTTTATGTTTTTTACAAGCCTGTAATTTATATTTCATTTTGATTTTCTGTATTATTATGTTTAAGATAGCTTTTAAGATTTATTTATGTTTCTTGTTAGTTGTAAACCTGTAAATAATTGTTTGGTAAAATAATCAACAATAAATGGTCTGAAAATTTAATTAAATCAACTTTTCATTACTTTTTTACTAAACATTCCCCATGGTCCTGTGGTTTGAATTTAAAAAAAAACCCCTAGACCTTAACATCCTAGGACGCTAGTTGTAGTCAAAACTGTTTAACACATTACTTCGGGCTAGAGAGGGTTTGCCACTATCACATAGGCCTAGATAAAATCCATAGGTGGTTATAGCGGAACTGTTGATAAGAGAGTTGATACGGTTATAGACGTTTCATCTAATCTGAGCGAGCGTCAGGTGTAATTTCACTTGCTTTCATTGAAACAAAACTATTCTATTTGTCTTAAGAAAAGTGATCAAAGAGGTTAAATAATCAATTAAATTTGTTTTGCGTTTGTATACATTTTTACTTCTAAAACGGATTAATTGAGGTTATATGAATAAAAAAATCAAAACCATACCCAAATTAATACAACTTGTTACATATGTCTCGGAGGGAAATTCATCTAGTTTAATTAAAACTAAGGGTACAGTCCGGACAAGAAAAACTCCTGTGGAAAATTCACTTATAAAATAGACTATACCTTCAGATTGCTGACTCCATTAGTAATGGTAATGATAATATGCTTTTAAGAACATACTCTTGTTAAATAATTTTTTTATGGCACATAATCTCATACTGCAAATAATTAATTTTAATCCTTTGGTTCGTCGTGCATTTTACTCGTAATGTACTTCATATTATTTTAGTTTAGGGTTTTGTATTAATTTAAATATTGATCTTGTAATAAAACTTTATTTTTCAAAGTAGTTAATTCACAAGTGTAAATAGAATGAGGACTAAAATCTAGAGTGGTCCTAAGTAAATATACTAAGAAAATAATACAGTGGCAAGACACTTTCTTAAAGCAATAGCTTGTGAGCAATTTCCAACTATAGTTTTGTATGTAGAGTTAATAATACATGGTTAAGGGTAGCTTATTAGTGAAAAATGTATATTTTATCGCAAAAATGTGATGTTTGGCTAAAGTTCGCTTTTCTTCTCAGTGTCCACACAATGTAAAATTTTAGATTTCGGTTTTACTTACTCATGTACATTACACATCTTAACTAAACACTACGGTAACATTGAAACTTAAATAAAATATTTTGACAGGGAATTTCAATAATACAATGGTCTATGACTTTTCCTTAGATGAAACAAAATAAATAGTCTTGACGCTGTTCCATCTCGGATCACAGAGAGTTGAATACGTGATGTCACGTAGCTGGTCACAGTGGGAGATACCGCAGGAAGGTCACGACAAGTTTGAGCGTGACCAAGGACAAGAAAGTGGTCACAGCTAGATGGAGCCAATACAACCTGGAAAGATTATTACAAGTTAGCTAGTGGTTGGTTCCTTTATTGCACTGAAAAAATGTAATGCCACTACGGGACAGTTATTAAACAAAACACACAAAGACACTGTTATGTTTAAAAATAATTCTTTGATGAGATCAAAATGGATTTTTGAGGATGTGTGGTCAGGACCTAGTGTCCGACTGCCTACTTGTTTCCTGTCTGGGGTCATAACGCCGAGTGTGTTTGATTAACCGAAAGGCCGATTGCGGATATTGCCATAATCGTGGCAAACGATCACCACTGTTGTTGACATTGGGTATTGCCGCCATCGCGGGAGACGATTACCGATATCGCAGAGACTGCAAGTTATGCTCACAACTGTTGCCGCGGTCGCAGGAGATGATTACCAATGTCGTGGAGACTGCAGGTTATGCTCCTCCTGATATCCGACATTTTGACCGTTCCGACAATGGCCCGGTCCCAAAAACCGTATGTTGAGGGGACCGGATATGAGGGTTTCTTCTGTATTATGCTGTTTATTCTATTAAACAAAAATCTGAATCCTGAAATATGCAGTTATCCTGACTTCAGTGAGATAAACAAATAGAACAGATGTGGTGATTTCTCGGATGTGGGGTCTGCTCAACATACTTACGCCACTGGCTCATTTAGTATTTTCCAAACACTGGAACGCAGTTTATCATTAACGACACTCGGCATGTAGCATCTTAATTGCAATCCCGGCAGAGTCCCATAATTTTAAAACCACAAGTGTGGGGTGATATTTCAATTTTTGAATATCGCTATTGATGCTATGTACATTCTGTGAGGTAACAAAAGCTGTTTAAAATCTGAGAGTAAACAAAAAATAATAGTCAAATCATAGAAATAGAACAATGACATTACAGTAACAGCTGTTTGATTTAACAGTTTTGACTAAGTAATCAGTTCCCAAGATCTTTTTTCTACCTGTTCCACTTCCTCCTTGCCCTTGGAAGAGTGTCAATGTCATCCTTAAGCAGATACACTCGCAATCCTAGACACAGAGCTTGTGCATGGTACTCCCACGACATCTTGCCGATGTCAAAGAAAAATAACTCCTTGTCCTGTGAACAAAGCATTTATTAATGTATAATTTGAACGTACAAGTTGAGAGGGTTAGAAAACTTGTTAAATAAATATCATCTCTTAATAATCTTTGACACCGTTTATTTTGATATTAGAATCTAACAAAAACATTTACAACTGTTATTAAAAAATGGCATACCTTTTCACTGAGAGTTCGCCATAGTTTTTGGGTGTTGTCATTTTTGAAAGTCCAAATTCTGTTGGCGAAATATGTCATAGTGTCTGCGAATTTGTCCAGTTTTCTGTATATTTTTGTCAGCCTGAAAACATTCCATGTAATAGCTTAAAAATCCCTATTAAAAAAGGAAAAAATATGTCAAGATTAATACATTCTTAACTCTAAATAAAATAAGGAAACTAAATGGGTTCCTTTCAGAGCCGGCTTTGGTAGTGCAGGGCCCAGTGCAAACAATCAGAGCGGGGCTCCTTACTAAAAAAAAAAAAAATAGTATTGAAGAACAATACTGACTAACAAAAATCTCCTCGAATATCAGTATGCATACTCCCCCTTTTTTCATAATTGACATAATAAATTTTTTTACAATTTATTTGGATTTTCCACCAAAAACTCGGCCCCGAGGCCCGAGGTGCGGGGCCATGTGGGGCTGCAATTTATACCGTGAAGTGCTCTGGTTCTTTTATAATACTTCTAGTAAAAGAAACTTGCTACACTAAAAGCCGACTAAACTTATATTTTAGAGTAATTCTTTTGTAATCCTATTGGTACAATAGTGGTTATCAAAAACAAAAGAAAAATCTAGCATCACAAAAATCTGGGTAATTTATCCTCATTTAAAAAGTTATATTCAAAGAATAGTTATTTTTTCAAATTGTAAGTAACACAAATATACAGCATTTTCTTAACCTTTTACCAGAAAACTTTTTAAGATATAGAAAATAAGTTCTGCAGTGAGTTAATAAAGTAAAGAATGAATAATTACACTCACATAGGTTTACGACCCGTAATTATTGCCAGTCCGTCCATGATATAGCCGAAGCACGTGTGGAAGAGGAAGTTGGCGATCATGAAGGCATAAGGGTTCTCAAAGCTCATAAAGAAGTAGTACCAGATGGCATGAACTGTCGGCCAGTTGGGTCCGTACTTGTGGGCTAAGACGTGAAACGTTTTCCAGGATATGGGGTTTTGGCTAGAACTGACGTAGTTGTATATCGGAATGTCCCCTTCTCTGTAATAAAAAGTCTTAGTTAAGTTCCCATACTAGCAAATAAACACATTCTAATAAAAAAAATATTACGAAAAGTGTTTCTAAGTATTTTTGCATGCACCATATTGTTGGGTGGGGATGATTTATGAGCTCACCACTATTAAGGATGTTAAGAGAGAAACATACAGTACACATTTTACTTAAACATAATGAACAAGAAACATGGTACATAAAGCAGGCTCTACATTTTAAGATGGATTGAGAAGTTTACTTGCACCGTTCAAAGTCAACAATTGCTCTATTTGCATAGAAAAACAGCACATCTACTTTTAGTATCGTCATCATGTCATTATACAAGACCTAAGTGATATGAATGGAGTCGTGAACCTTAGACACTGTCTTTCACTAGCTCTACTAACACTATATAAAAAACACCTGGCTACACCTACTAAAGAAAGAGGGGGAAAGGAGAGCGGTATGGGACAACGAATAGAATTGTCCTAGACACCAGCGACTATGGTGCTAGACCACTTAATTGTATGTACCATTGAATGTATCCTCTATATCTTAATTTCCTGTGAAAGCCTTTATCAATCAGTAGAAGCAGGACAGACTTACATTCTAGTTCCAGCTCGCCAGGCAGATGCAAGGAGAGCGTTGGTGACCAGATCCACAGGTACAATGTCCGTCACGTGCGTCTCGTCTCCGAAGTAGGTGTGTATCACTCCGGTCCCTAGACCAACCATTAGACCTGTCGGGCCGTACACGTTGTCTATCCAGCCTCGGACAGGCTCCTTGTACGATGATATAACTGTAATCAAGACCAATTTTAGTCAGCTCATTGTGCGATCAGCTTTTTGAAACTCTAGCAAAGGATTTAGGAGTTTTAGTGAAGCCCTTGAAAGGTTTAGTGAAAAACTAGACCCTTATGTTACATCATTAACCAAACATTTAATTTGAAGTGTATAATTTGCACATGTGTAAGATGATATTTCTATAAGCCACATTTACAAGAAGCCAGTTGGCAGGTTGGGTACCTGCCTCAGTTAATGTACAGTATTTAAAAATACCTGAGGCAAGTGCTAACCTGCCTGTCAACTGAAGGCGTTGTGTAAACACAGTTTACCTAACCCGCCATGTTAAACTTCCCTATCCCAAGTGTGATGTATACAACTTCCTTACTTCTCGAGTGATGTAAAGTATCAAAAACTCACTCGGTGATGTAATGAAACCCATTTAAATAACATTGAGCGATTAACTTAAAAAATATACCTCTATGGAGCCAACGACGTTCAACTCTAGAAATCAGCTGTGCTCTTGAATTTTATTGTTATGTTTTGAAGAATTTTCCTTACCTAGCTTTTGTTTGTAAATGAACGTTACTGTTAGAAGATGAGTGAAATGGATCATGATTAATATTGTTCGTAACCTCCTGTATATTGTCGGGTCAGGTAAAATCTTGTACGTTACACGTTACGCAAGAGCGTGTTTACATCACTTAGGTAAATTATGCAACTCGCTTCCACTCGTTGCACAACCTTCACCTGCGTGATGTAAAAACGCTCTTACTACACTTGTAAGGTAAATAGCTATTAAGTCATTCAGTTCAGCACATGATTTATCCATTTTGTCTTAATACAAATGGAATGATTGAATGATTTAATCAAGTTTTGAATGTGACTTGCCTTGTTCATTTGATCTGTACCTTATATATTTTACTGAACACTGTTTTTGCTCCTTTCCCTTTGCAGAAAAGTAGTAACTTTAAAGTATAATAAGTTACTATACTTCGTTCACAAAATTTGGGCGGTTTTAGGGGAAGAAATCGTTCCCTCCACTTGATCTTTAAAACGATAGCTCAACAGCTGAGGTTTGCTAAAAAGTCAATAGCAGCAACAGAAGCAAAAAAAAGTAGTAGGAGAACTTCCCCTCAACCGCCTAAGGGAAATAAGAATGTAATATAGCTGATTGTGTAAAAACACAGATAAGTAAGAAACAGAGGATAGATTCAATGTTACACTTTGAGTTGTGTCTAGAGCAAATTATATTCGTCGGCCCCTTCTGCTCTCCTTTCCCTCCTACTGCACTACAACTGGGCTGTACAAATATGCTGTGGCCGTTGACGTTTGGGCTCTTCCGTGCTTGATACTGGCAAAAATGATTCATCTCCTCAAGTGATTGAGTACCTGGATTCCTTACTGTGAGACCAGGTCTCTCCTTTACTCTTCTCATAGGTATAAGATTTCCTATTAATTGTCTCCTCCTCCTGTTTCCAATATTTCTCCTTTAAACTCAAGAAATGTTCTGTTCTTCCAACAAAACTGATTGACTGTTTAGATTTATCTATAACCTCCTAAATATTACAAACATCAATATTTACTCCCAAAAAGCTGGTGACTTTCTTTTTATATACAGCTGATTTGTATTTAAATTTGTTTTCAATGTAATTCTTATGGGGAAATGTGTTCTTTGAGAGAGTCTTGTGCCCTTAAGGGTATGAGTTTTTTAATTCTAAAACCTGTATGCAAAACTAAACTATTTGACAGTTAAACGTTAAAATCAGTCCAGAAATAACGGAGAAGTTTTGTTCACAAAAACAGCCTTCACGTATTAATATAAGAGATCCTTATAGCAAAAGTCTCCAATCTATATAAATAAAATTAGAGTTTTGTCTGTACATTGCTCAGAATCATAAATTTTTAGGTTATTTTTACGTTTTATACATTAAAGAAGCCGAAACAAGTCTCATCTAAATTTCTGTCTGTCTGTCTGTCTGTCTGTCTGTCTGTCTGCAACACTCAAGATGGCATTTTACGCAATCTTCTCCAGGAAAACGAGAGTACCTATTAAGATCCAAGTCGTTTTAATGTATTTACTGGATTGGCGAGAGTGTCTTTAGCCATTAAAATATAGTCTCACTACTTTGTAAATAAAATTACGGACATTCAAAAATGCAGTTTTGTGCGATTTTTTAAAGTTTTCGTCCAATTTTTATCACATAATCATCTATGAAATAACGAACAGCTGTTCGGATCAAGATTATTTTTTTCTAGCTATCACTGATATGTTTACAAATGTTGTTTACAAATACCGCAACCATTTTCGATCACGTTTTGAGCAGCGAATCTCAACGAAGTGAGATTAAAAACGTTTTTCTTACATAACGGATTTAATTAATCGCAAGTTCAATAATATAGTGTAATAGTGTAACCGTAAATTAAATTAATTAACTAGGTATCATCCAGGTCAGGAACCAGAAATTATTTAGTGTATGAAATTGTTCTTGAGTTTTGATAACAAGAAAGAAGACCTTGAATCAGTGTTGTATACGGGTGGGAAACTTAAATTTAATAATGATCGTCACCAATAGCTTAGAAACAAGATTTCCACTCAGTGACGGCGCTTCAATGGCGGTTGTGTAAAGTGAAAAGTAAAAAAATCACAACTGCAGTAGGTGATTGTAACAGAGGTTTACGGATGATGCTAAACTCGATTTTCCAATGTGTCACTTTCTGTTCCTACCATTGACTATATATATATATGGTCAATAGTTTCTACTCACCGTGTGATGCAATCGCTGGACCATACAGCCAATAGGCAAATAGTCCATCTCTTGGGTACGTACGCCTAGCCAATTATTCATAACAACCTTTTTGACGACGATCCTTGATGCCGGTACTTTTTCCTAAGATACACGGCCTACCTACTTAAGAAATAAAATTACAAACGTCCAAAAACTCAACGTTGTGATTTTTATCACATTCCCTTCTAATGTTAATGGATAGCCTATACCAATCATTGTTTAGAGAATACGTAATCTGTTAAATAACAAAACAGTTGTTTGTATAAAGTTGTTTTTTTTCAAACTGACACCGATAAGTTTACATTAAAAGTTGTTTATAAATAAAGCAATTAATGGTAAATAACTTTGACTGCCAATAACCTTTTACGAGAAAATCCAAAACCAAGAGATCAATATCCTCGGGACTTGATTAACGCATACAGTTGAGCGGATGTACTACAGTTCTTAACTGTAAACGTTGGTTTTTGGTACTGATTTCCCTTAGAACTGTTGGTAGCAGCAAGAATAATTTTTACGTACTACAACATTTATTGTAATTTACAAATTAGTTATCGTTGGTGTTGCACCTTATTTATTACAGGCGTATTCAATTTAACTGTATAAGTTTTGCTTTTTCTGTCTGGATTCCAAAATGTTAGTTTATGCTAAGAAAACGATAGGCTAACGCATTTAAGTAAAACTAAGTAAACCATCATGAATTTTTTAAACGCTTAACGTTGTTTATGCATCAATAGTTCGTGGCCTATTTTGGTAATTTTTATTATAAATTACCAATCTAAATTGTCTATAGTAGACCTACTTCATTTCATAAAGTAAGCCGTCATTTCGACAGCATTACGGGTCATCTTCGGTCCAAGCAAATATAAATTGTTATGATAAAATTTGATGACATTAACAAAGATTTCAAATACTAATTTTATATGTACTTTGTTATGCTTAAAGCGTAGCAAATTCCCTAATTAAGTTCTGCATTTGTGTGTGTATGTCTGTTGGTAACGCATTAATGTTCTTGATAATGAAAAATGCCAACCCGAATAAAGTGTTAAATTGTGAGGTTAATGTAGTACCTTATATACTTTTAACCATTTTGGAAAGAAACTTTCAGGCCTACCTTAGGGCTATGCCTAATAGATCTATAAAGCATGTTTTTAGTTTAATCATTGGGTTTAACATATGGACCAACATGATCCGGGTGACATTTAATTGCGAAGCATTTGTTCTACCTTGTGCTTGAAACTGTCAGATACTGTATTTGCGAAGGTTTATCTATAATTGTTTTGCCAGCATATCTGAAAATATTCAAATCAACTGCTGTTCTTAATATAAGAAGGTTTCAACTGGCTACGATAAGATCCCCGTGCGTAGAACGGGCACACAGCTAGTTTTAGTATAATCACCTGTTTCAAATATTAGTTTCAATTTCAATGTATTTATCTGTTCAAATGTAAACAAACATTTTCTCCTTAAGAATAACATGGGAACTTTGAAGGCCACTGGGGCAGAGCCCTAATGGAAATCCAAAGTTTTCTTGTTTGATGGCAAAACTACATGCTAACCTTTCTAACAACACCTTGGACTTGGTGATCAGTAGCACCACCGCTCCTAAACAATTATCTGAAAAATACAGAAATATATTACGTCTAATATAACACTTGCAATAATATATTTACACTTATACTGTTGACTTACAAGACGGTAAATACATGTAAAAGTTGGTAAGTGGTGATCAACCACTTATATATTATTGCAAGTGTTATTAGACGTAATATATTTCTGTATTTTTCAGGTAATTTAATATCACGTACGATGCTAATCAAGAAGTTATTTAAACAATTATGACAAAAATATGCCTAGCGTATTAAGTATATAGATTTACCAACTGCAGGTCTGAAGACAGTGATGGGAAGTCCTCTCCCCTCTTTATTTACGACTTGTTCAGCCATAGCTTTTGTGAATGTGTAAGTGTTCGGCCAGTCTGCCAGTAAACTGGAAAAATATGTCATATAGCTATTGTGTAAACTTAAGGGGGGATTAGTAAATTCCTACTGCACCCAGTAGAGAGTTTTAACCTTAAGACAATAATTTTTGCTAGGACTCTATCTATAATAGTCAAATTTTTTCATATATCATAATTACATCACGAGAACATTATTTTTTTCTAAGCAGGAGGAGAAAAATGAACACCCTAAATTCTACATTTCTGTCCAGAGTATGTAGTGAGAATTTCGATATTTTCTGTGTCTTGTTATTTTGCCACCTTCAACATAAGTAAAAAATTTCTTCTTCTAAACTAAGTTATAACTTCTTTTATATACTATACAAACAAAAATCAGGGACTGGGAAAGAGTTCACATTGGTGCAAGAATCACAACAGTTTACACAATCCACAAAGAATAGAATAATTTCACTGTCACTGACAGGATTTTAGGCCAAAGAAGGTTAGAGTCGGAGATAGAGACCCTCTTGAGTTCAACTCTCTCTTCAACTCAAACCTACCTTGTTTGAAAATGACGTGACAGTGAACTATTCTAATTTGTGTGTACAGAGTTAAGTCTTGTGTTTTTGTGCCATTAGACTCTTTCCCATCCTGATTACCTACAGAGAATCTGATCGTGGCTCTCTGTATATAATATAGATAGATCTACTATTTTCACAAAAATCCTCAACACGTAGGTCCTTGTGATCTATGTTACATACTTGGTATGTTTAGCGAAGCTGTACCTGGGTGTGAGCGCCTCCAACTCCGCCTCATCCTTGGTCTTCAGCAGCTGACTGAGGTCCTCGTAGGACGTCGGCATGTCGTAGAACCTCTCCTCAATGTGGAGGTGGTTACAATTCGCAAACGCTGTGGATACGTGCACCATCGACTGGAATGTAATATAGCAGCGTGTTAATAGACCTCAAATATGAGATATACACAAATTATGAGGTGATACCTTTGGAAAACGTTATGAATTTGTTGATCGATAGTTACTCTCTTGTACTATGTCTTTTGTTTAATAAATGCGAACAGCTAGTTTATAATGATAGAACTATTTAGTACAGGTATACAAATAAAGCATACCTCAATTAATTGTGAATGAAAGTTGTATGTAGGTTAGGTAAATCTTGTGTAGTTATCTTACAGCTTTTTAATATAGGAGTGTGGGATGCTTAGTTTATAATTATGTCACTCTATTATTTGGATTTGACACAAGTAGCTGAGTATACAATGAATAAATGAAAATCATAAATGTTTCATTGATAAGTACAATATTACTTTAATCTATATTGATTTACTATCTTCAGATAACAAGAAGAAATACCTGTACAATCCACAACTCAATCAAATACTTTAGTCAAAGTACCTAACCAGTTCATTGAGAGAGTCTCGAGTGGAATCCTAAACAATGGTAGTTATTATATGTAGACTGATTACATTTTGAGTTTTTATCTTTATATCTTTCATCTCCTAGTCCCTCTATATGTTTTTAAAATACATAAATAATTGTGAAATTGTAAAAGAAACCATTTAGAGTAGAGATTCTTAACCTGTTTTGCTCAACGCTCTCCTTAGAATCCTCAATTTTTCTCACACCTCCCATACCCCCACCCACCATATTAAACTCATATATCATATTTTAGTTGCCGCATTCTTATCGCTCTAATTAGGCTAATTATCCATAAGGTACCTGTTGTGATTAAATTTAAAGTTTTCATATGACCACAATCCAAAACTAATTTATTTTTTTCAAATTAATCTGAGCATGATCTATGGTCACAGAATATAATCTGTCTTATGTTTCCACTGTCGCATAGGAGCTTATAGTCGTGGACCTACCTTGAGATTCTTGATCTCCCTGGCCAGAGCCAAGATTTCCCGGGTTCCCTGAACATTGATGGTGGTAGCCGTCTTGATCGGCTCGTTGAACCGAACTGTGGCTGCTCCGTGAATCACTACGTTCACTGAGTCGATAACCAACTGACGATCTCTAGGGCTCAATCCTAGTCCTAACAATGAAACGTCACCTTCCAACGCGGAAACTTTGCTGCGGTACCAGGGGACCTCTGTCTTCAGCCTCCTGTACACCTGCAACAGTGGAAAAGGTAATAGAAAACTAGCAACTGAAAAAATCCCGTTGGAAGGAAACTTGAAGAGTAGCAAGTTTAAAATACAGTAGAGAATGTCAACGCATATCTATAATGAGGTGGGAAAGCTTAAACTTATTCTAACATATGTGAATAACAACATATGAGTGGGATTTAGTTTGGAATAATTTTGTTATACAGTACATGCATTACAAATCTATTCCATTAAGACTTCCATGGAAAAATGTAACAAAATTTTAAAACATGAAATTATAAAGAGGTTAAATTAAATCTAAAAATTAGAATAAATTAATTGTAATGTCGATACAATGCATATTGTCAAGGCAATAAAGAATTATTATTATGTACTTTATACTTAAATAATACTTAAATTAAATAATTTAAATTTAAATTATACTTAATAACTTTCGTCTGAAATGGCAACAATACGAAGGTAGGTATTTTAAGCCAAGTATGAATGGAGATAAGTGGCGCGATCTTGGTAGTCTTGTTACTGACTATGGTCGATATGTTCCTTAGACAGGACTTTTAATTAATAGCTCATACAGCCAATGACAACTGGCACCTACAGTTTATAGTGGAATCTGAACCACATTTTCGCCTTGTAATTTACAAATTGGTCTAAATATCGAGGATAGTACTGCGGAATAACAGTAGTACTCACTACTATTGCCTTGTTAGTGTATTGTTGTCACACAATATATTAAATAACTGATTATTATTTCCATATAATTTTTAAGAAATACCGACAAATACCCAGATAATTATGGTTATTTAAGCTCTCATTAAAATAAAACAAAAATTCCTCATTATTAGTAAATTTGTAATATCCTAGAGCGTAAGCTTTTAAACATTGTATTTTTACCTTCTTGGTGATAGTAAGGAGCTAGGGTTAGATATATTCTTATCTGGATTCTGGTGTTGTATTTTTTTTCATTTTCTGACTTCTACAAATTGTGGCCGAATTATTTTGGCTTGGGTAACGTCTTTTCCAATAAGCAATTCTACTCTCAAATAATCATTCACATTTAGTTTTATGATAGAAGAAAACTATTTATCACTACACCCAACCAAAATAGTATATTTTTAAATGTGTTAAACGAGGAAGAATTTTATTTTTTACAAGTGTAAAACATGACAAGAAAGAAGCAAATAAAACATAGCTAGAGGAGTAGAGTGCATAGGTCATGGTCAAGGTGACCATAGAAGTGAGAATCTGAATATTTGAATACAAGATTCTGGTTTTGAATAGAATTCCTACCCACTAGGGAAATAGCTTGTGTAAGAAATCCATTGTCTACTGTTGCTTCGATACCTGCAGCAATGATGCTCGCAGGAAATATTTCCAGAGAGGGCAAACGGTATGTATTTTAGTGGATGGGGGTTTGGAGAAAAGGCCCCTACTGTTCTCAACTACAAGATTTTCTCGTCATTCATCTATTGTAAATGTGTTGATGTTTGGCTATTGATTGCTTGTTTTTGGATAGATCGTCTAGGTCATAGCAAAATCCATTTCTAAAATTTCAATAAAAACAATATTTTGTTTTCTGTGTAATAAAACCCTGAGTTCTTATTGAGCCAACGTTTATTGGTTCTGAGAGTTGGTCCAAGCACTATTCAGTGTAAATTTTCTTTCATAATAAACAAGTCTAAGTCAAAATTCATCAATGTAACTAATAGGTAATTATTTTAGGCTGCAGTATCGCTACAATTGACTAATATTTTGGTCCCTACATAAGCCTTACATCTTTTGCAATTTGATCATTTCTTTGATTTATTTATTGGTTTGTAACATTGCACGAGTTTAGCTTAACCAACAATTTTTCTTTGCTTATCTGCTAGATCCCATTCCTGGGTTAATTACTTATTTGTTTGATTTAAAAGTGATGCAAACCTTTGTTCCGTATTGTTAAAATTAAATGTTGGTGGTTAAAAACTAGTTTTATGGAAAAAACTACACTAGTGCACTTATGTTAAATGTAAGATAAAAATAAAATGTTTGTTTGTGTACATAACACTATGGTGTAGTGGTATTGCTTGTTAAGCCTGCCTGTGCTGGAGAGGGACCGCTGTTGTGAACTTGTTGGAATAACAATAGAACAATTTGAATGGTGGACAAACTATATTAGTAAAAAATGTGTGTTTAGGAATGTTGTGATAATTTTCGTGAATAAGAATTTTGGTTAATTGTAAAATAATGTGAGTATATTGGAAGGGGGCAATCTACCCAAAAATACTTTTTCTTTATAAATGGCCTAAAAAATGTTATTTATTGATTAAAGTGTATCCTAGTGTAAAAATAAAAATAAAATACGGTATGACCCCCAACCTTTCTCTTTCGGGCGAAGGGGGGGGGGAGATAAAAAAAACATACGTATACGTTTTACAGCATAACTCCTTTTGTATAGCACGTATTCCAATTTTTTAAACTTTGTTTCAAAGCTAATAAATAGCCTTACAAACTGTAGCATGGCTTTTGATATTCTTTTAAAAATAGATATGGGACATTTTATTTTAATTTTTTGACAAAATTCCATTTATTTTTTTTATTAAAAAAAATATGTAAGGAATATGTTTAACAATATGTAAATTTCCATGCTACTGTTTGTGCACAATATATTGAAGAACATATGTACAAATTTTGACTTCTCTAGCTAAAAAAATAAAAAAGTTATGCTGTAAAACGAGAAGGAAAACACTAAAAATGAAATGCGGGAAATAACAAAAACACTTTGTTTCCAATAGGCGCCTGAAGCAGAAAAACTAGCTGTGGATGTTTATGTTATTTAATCTAAAATCTATTTTCAATATTAAAAATACAAAACTAATGCTTGATACCAGTTCCTAAATAGTTAAAAAAAATGGGAAAAAAATTTTTTAATCAAGTTTTTTGGTTACATTGCTTCCAAAATAGGCGCCTGAAGCAGAAAAGCCAGCTGTGCGCGCTTATGAAATTTAATCCAAAAAACACATTTTGAATATTAAAAAACCAAAACCAATGCTTGATACTTGTTCCTAAATAAAAAAATAAAATATATTTTTTTTTATTCAAATTTTTGGCTACATTGCCCCCTTAATATAAAAGTTAGAACACTCTTCAACTTATAGCTTGTAGAAAGGGCAAGTGAAAGTATTTCTTACACTTTGATCATTCTTGGTGTACAGTTGGTCATAAATTTCACTGCGAGAAGTGTGAAAAGCTATATGAAGATATGTTAAAATATGGAGATTGCTGTGGAGAAAGTGTACATTTTAAATAGGTACTAAGTACACATTCGTAAATTGAAGGTGGTAATAGCACTGAGAAGCAAATATCTCCATTTAGGACTCGTAGCTTTTACTATGTTAAGAACCTCTGTTGCTGTAAAACTTGCTAATTGAAGATTTTCTGTAGACTTTTAAAATCTTTGTCCAAACAGGCTCGTAACCAAACAAAATTTAAGCTTAGGTGCACAATTTAATTTACTATAATTTTTAAAAATTATCTCCTGGCTATGGCCATGTCCATTAAAAATTTCTAACTTTGAAAACTATGAAATATGTGGGATTTGATAGACTAAATCCAACTTTAAGCCTATATTTTCAAACCTTTCCAACATAAGTTTTCATAGCACAACATCCACTGATTTCTATGAAATTCCCTAAACATAGTTTGGTTAAGGACAATAACTACTCACTCTGTCCTCGAAGATGGCGTTGAGTCTGTCGTTGACTTGTTGTCCCTTCTTGGGTCGGATGAGAAGGTAAACATGATCAATGTGAGGAATACTCCTGAGAAGTTTCTCCAAAACCACCTTCCCCAGAAACCCCGTCCCTCCGGTGATGAAGACACGGGCACCTCGGAAGAATTCCTGGATATCAGAACCCTGAAAGAAACAATGGGAAGTGTGAGATTCTGCAAAGTGATAGATTAACGTTTGGGTATGCAACCCTGGAAGAAACAATAAGAAAAGTGAGGCTGCAAAGTGTGTGTGATGTGTGAAATTATGCAAAGATCTTTCTTTAGATCTTCTATAAAGATTCCTGAAGAACTACAGCATGTATTGTTTGAAATAACTTTCTTGAACAGCTGTTAGTAAGAAGATGCCTATTGATGAAGCTATAGAGAATATTTTGATACTTACTGGTACATATATACTATTTTTAATTTCGTAGGAGAATTTCAAAGATAAAAATAATCATGCCTCCCTGCAAAGCACAGGTAGGGAGGGGGTATTGACGCTAAGAAACTCGATCTTGACCGAATTATTTTTTATAATTTTCCTTCTTGACATAGGTATTCTTGAGTACTCGATATTAATATTGTGTTGAAGACTTTTCATATAGAGACAGAAGCGAGTTGAGTAACCCAAGGCTGATTTTTAGGAGCTCTTTAATTGATAACATAAGTTGCCTTATGAGTTGCTATGCTGGTGACATAATAACAACAAACTATAAAAAAAATCAAAACAATTGGAAGAAATTCCAATCACATGTTTTATTTACAGTGTGGGGTGAAAATAAAGAAGTCTGTACATTACATATTTTTGGTTGACTTTTTGACTACTGGACGACCTCTAGTTTTATTAAAAACTAATTTTATTAATTTTGTACAGGTTACTTTATACTATAATGGAAATAAAGGAGAACATTATCTCATTCTTCTCTGAAACTGTTGATACTAAACGACCCTTGTAAAAACTCTAAAGCAATCTCAGTAATTTTTAAATGTGGTTGAGTAACAATAACTCTTAAAAGTATATTATAACTCTACAACAGTAAGTCAAGCAAGACAAAGCAAGGCAGACGTCAGACGTCTATACCTTGACATCCTCCGGGATCTGTTTGGCTGGCTGGAAGTCCCTCTCCCCTAGGATCTCAAGGGGGTCCCGCAGGTTGTACGGGATCTCTGCGTTACGCAGCTTCATCTCCTCAGCCACCATCCCTGCAAAGATTATTTGATTTGTTCTGAATACCTCTGTGGTAGATTTAAATATCTTTGCCTGTGACTGTGATGTAGTAAAAACAATTAGAGTTTTGTTTCAAGAAGGATTAAAAATTTAAAAAAATAGTCATTTATACCTAATTATAAAAAGCTGGGTTCAATTTTAATCCTAAAACGTGGCCGAATTTTACAGAATTCGCAGACAGAATGTGTTAACATTTATTCACACTTTGGTTTTAGTTTTAACCAATGGTAGGTTTTCTTAAGCATATCTATTATTTTTCCATGATTAAAAAATCCAGTTATCTCTGTCATAGACCTTGAGTCCAGCTGGTTTAAACAGTGTCTACTGTTGTTGCTGAAAACATTGCCAATACACAGCAGGTTTGGGTATTGAGGTTAAATCACATTCTTGCCTCAAAAGGAAGAGAAGCAAAGCTGCAGTCACAAAAGTTCGGTCAGTAAACCTATTGTAACATTGAATTTATTTTACAATCAATAGTGAATACAATCTATGTCTATGTCTATAGCTTACATAGTGCGGAATGTAAGCTATGCATCAGATTAATTGCTGATTCTTATGGTGTGAGAAAGCTGAACTTAATAAATAATATAACCTAGCTCTTTGGATTTGGTTTTATGAATTTAGGTAATTTTTTTCATTTCAGCCAAACAAGATTGCAATTTTGATAAAGAAAGACATCACCCAGCAATATTACTTTTTAAAGTAAAACTATTCTGTAGCAATTCTCAATAATTTTTTTGTCCTAATACTGTATCCGTTAGGAGATGAATAGTCAAAACTCCACTAAGAAAAGAAAACAGAGGAAACAAAAGTAAGAATAACGAATGAAGTCATAGTCATACATATCCAAAAGGTGAAAGGCAGGTACTTGGTGTCTCAGATAAGATACTACGCAAGGTTTATGAGTGCTGGTTGAGAATAGAAACTATTTGTTTTTCAGCTGACGTGTTGAAACCTTAGTATTGTTAAAACCACTAGAATAAGGGTGGATTTATTAACGTATCTGCTGCTCTTAAGCACTTTTGTCTCCCTCCACTCACTAAATAGGCAGGTTGCGTATTAATAAATGGACCGGTGACCGGTGGACTCGGGCCCAGGGGCGCAAAAGGTGCAAGAGGTGTTAGGTTTGTTGGGGTCGCGAGAAAGAGAAAGGTTCTCCCACAGTCCAGTGGAGATAAGCACAACATATGCATACCCATACCGTGGGCACTATACATAGGTTTTCCATGTGCAGAACAGTAGTAAAAAGGCACGCACATTTCTGATGTCAACAGTCACCAAAATATCCAACTAACTCCTCTTTCCCCCATCTTAGCAGTATTTATTTAAACCAATAAAAAAAAGAATTAAATGACATAAACAAATTTTAGTTTTGAACTATTCATGAAAAAGGCGAAGTATTTCTTTTACTGCCAATTTGGTCGTAGCTCCTGTGTGTGAATTGTAAAAGTATCTTCTTACAGGGAAATAAAAAAATAAAAGCATGCATCCTTTAAACAACTAAATAAAATACTATGTGTAAATGCATAGAATTCATATATATTCAAACTCATGAATAAATCCAATACCATCCATAAAAGATACTCAATTTATGTAGGGAGCTACAAAGAGCATATTCATCAACCACATTACACATACATCAGTCTCAGTCTTGTACAAAAGTGCAAAACGCACCATAATCACAATGACTAGATAACGATGCACCACCGCGCAAGACTTGTAATTTCTAATGAACAACGCTTGCGCACGTCATTCTATTTTTAACATCGTAAGGCAGGCACACGTTTGGCAATCACACCCCGCAGTTCTCCGATGACCTTCTGACTCAACGTGTTGACACGTGTCGTGTTTATAACTGCTCAATCTCAAGAACAACTCCTAAACTGTCGTAATTGCTGATGATTACTGTTATTAAACTCTTGTCCAAACATTCGTCACGTCATATTAGCAGATGGTTGAGATATCTATTTATAAACAATTGTTTGCAATCATAGTATTATGTGTAAGGTTTTGCCATATACATTTTGAGAAATATCTTCCACGGTTGGCAGTTTTGTGCTCTTTTAGTTGGAGTTTTAATACTCACTAGTCCCCTATTTGATAAACATTTTTTTTTATAAAACAAAACATCATCTAACAAGTTCATCCATACGAAATCAATAGTATAGATTTCATACCACCATATTTATTCGCTGCTGATATCTTATGAGACCAAATTTCAGTGAAAGGCCGTCTGACCTAGTTCATCATGTGTTACGAAATACACTTGTCTGCGAACAGGAAAGTGAGGTTAGGGTTAGGTATAGTGTGTGACGATTGGAATCGTGGTCTTTGGATGAACAACAGTGAAGGGAACTCTGGAATTGGAAAGGCGTTGTTGTTATATTTTTACATGGTCCATGATGGACCTGTATTTCAAATTTAGTAGTTGGCGACTTTGGTATCCCCTATTTAAGCAAGAGTAACAGCAAGAGTAAACATAATTTTGCGATTGAATAATGTATGTTTGGAAATCGAAATTTATTTTGATTTTGTAAAAAGGTTACAAAATGATTTGGACTGTCCTAATCTCCGCTTGGACCTAGAATATTGTTATTGTATTGAAAATAAATTAGCTACCATAATCTATACAATTAAGAAAATTCGGTGTTCAAAGATTCGTGGAGATGCTTTTGGAAGTAAATACTAATTGACCGACACGGCATCAAAAGGAAAACCGCCTTGTTTACTATAGCTTTATTTGCAATCTGAGATAAATTAATTTTAACTCAATGGTAAAATGCATTGTTATTTTTGTGATGCTCTAGCAACTGTTTTTCAGAGCATCACATTCTTACCTCCCAAAGCTACAAAATATAAAAACTTCAATTAAACTCAACAACTCAACAATGACAATCTTCTCAAAAGAGATTAAGATTTGTTTTGTCTTGCATTATTCTATCTTCTATATATTAATAGGCAAGCATGTTTCTTTAAACCCTTTTTTCTCAGCTCGTGCATCGCAGGGAAAATCTACGCATAGTAAGATATTTTCCTGTAGATGTGCAGAATCCCTTTATAAATTGGAATAGGATTAAAAATAAGCACAACAAATGAATTTGAAATTTTTAAAAAGTCAACATGGGCCTAATGGGTTGCTATGCTGGTGACGAAATAACAATGTTATAAATAGAAAATCAAAACAAATGGAAGAAATTCCAACCACACGTTTTATTTACTGGGCAGGGTGAAAATATATAAGTTTGTACATTACATATCTTTGGTCGAGTTTTCGACTACTGGACCTCTGGTATTAATAAATCAATACAAAATGCAATACATTTAGTTTATGTCTGAAATACTTGGTTAAAAATATACATTTTCATTTTAATTGGTTCTTATGATCATTTTACAAGTACAGTATAAGTAACCGTCCTGCTACATATGTATTAGAATATTGCAATAGGAACATTTTACAATCGTTACATGTAATCTAAGATTTATTTCCCCGGTTCATTTTTTGTGTAGTAGCCTACCTGCCTGTAATTTTAATGGGGTATCTGTTTCGAAACTGATAGAAACCACTTTCGATTGGGCTAAAAAAAACATACGTTGTGGTTTTTAAATGTTTCGGCTCTTACTATTGCAAAATTATTCAAATTAAGTGACTTTTTGGCCATTTGCTCTGATTTAAGATGCGGTAAGTTTTAATTAATTAGTGTTTTCGGTTTTCCTGGTTAGATTCATCTCCATAAAACTACCTAACAGATTAGATCACGTATTACATATGGTTTTAGTTGATTTGTACTGTAACTATGGACTACATATTAGTACTGTAAAGTATACAGGGTGGCTGAAAAGTAACTTGCACCCTCCCTTAACTTTTCAACCATTTGAGATATTTGAAATCGGTTTGCAGCAACCTTCTTAGATATGAGGGGCTACAATAATTATGGTCAATTTTGAAAATTTTCCCCTTAGGGGTAGTGGGGGTAGGGGGTAGCTCAAAATTTTCAAATGACAAGTATAGTCGAGTTTGGTATCATTTTACAGGTCTTGACGAAACATAAAAATTGACATAAAGAAAACCAAAATCGGCTCACTAATAACAAAATGGCGCCCTAAAACGTTTCAAATCCAAATAACCATGAGGGTGGCAAAAAAATTAACTTGCACCCTCTTTAACTTTTTAACTATTTGAGATATTTGAAATCGGTTTGCGGCAACTTGTTTGGAAATGAATGGCTACAATAATTATTGTCAGTTTTGAAAATATTGCCCTTAGGGGTAGCGGGGGTATGGGGTAGCTCAAAATTTTCAAATAGCAAGTATAGTCGAGTTTGGTATCATTTTACAGGTCTTGACGAAACATAACAAATAACATAAAGAAAATAGAAATCGGACCATTAATAACAAAATGGCATCTAAAAATGATTGAGACAATGGTTATTTAAAGTAATTTTGAACTGCCATTTTGTTATTAATGATCCGATTTCTATTTCCTTTATGTTAATTGTTATGTTTCGTCAAGACCTACAAAATGATACCAAACTCGACTATACTTGCTATTTGAAAATTTCGAGCTACCTCCTACCACCGCTACCCCTAAGGGAAAAATGTTCAAAGCTTACCATAATTATTGTAGCCCTTCATATCCAAACAAGTTGCCGCAAACCGAATTCAAATATCTCAAATAGTTAAAAAGTAAATGAGGGTGCAAGTTATATTTTTGCCACCCTCATGGTTATTTGGATTTGAAACGTTTTAGGGCGCCATTTTGTTATTAGTGAGCCGATTTTGGTTTTCTTTATGTCAATTTTTATGTTTCGTCAAGACCTGTAAAATGATACCAAACTCGACTATACTTGTCATTTGAAAATTTTGAGCTACCCCCTGCCCCCGCTACCCCTAAGGGAAAAATTTTCAAAATTGACCATAATTATTGTAGCCCCTCGTATCTAAGAAGGTTGCCGCAAACCGATTTCAAATATCTCAA